CTCTCCACATCGCAGGCTTCCCTTGAGGAATGCACGAACACAACGCGGACAGAGATGGCTGTCTCGAAGTGCATGCTTGTCACCGCAGACGTGTTCAGGGCGCGTATATCATGCGTATACGCGTCCTCCGACACATCGGATCGCCAGAATGTGTTGGGGTAGTGGGTGTCTGCGATTCGGGGCGTTCTTGTTGCCTCGAAGTGCACACCCTGGCTCCACGCGTTCCAACACGCGTCGGGACGTGTGTACGGCAGAGCTGCGCCGCTCTGACGTCCCGCTTATAATCTGGTAGTTGCACATCCACAAATGATTCGTTCATTCGGCCTTGTACGAGGCTGCGACACGTCCGTGCGAAGCACGACCCGCTCGTGCACGCGTGCTGAGGACCCAATGCGTGTATGAGGAATCTTGTATGTCCCCTGCGGGTTGTATCTGCAACACGGCATGAGCCAAGTAGAACCTCGCGGATAACCTTTGCTCGTACCTTCTTCGTGGCCTATCTAGGGTCTCGTATGTTTCTGGGACGAGCATGGCCCTCACCTGCTTTGTGCTGCTTCCCGTCTTTCCGCATCTATCCTCGTAAATCTGGCGGGGAGGCGTGAGGAATGCACGTCTGCGACGTGGACCGCGCTTCTTCGCTCGAAGTACTAGTACATCCTTCCCAGCCGTGTTCCCATTCTTGCGCCACGCGTCGTACGCGTGTACCGCGGAGCATTCCACAAATACGACACGCGCATATAGATGGCAGTCGTTCGTCCAGAGACGCTATGGCAGTCGTAGCGTGTCTGGAGGCTTGCCCGGTCTCGTACGAGGTTCAGACGCGCTTTTCCCGGCGGTCCTGAACGAGAAGCTCGTGGGGGATCATTATGAACGTCCGCAGCCTTTAGCTAGACGTGTGTACATCCATCTACGCCCGCGCCGCGGAGTCTGAGCAACGTCGCACTCAAGCGCGTGTCGTGTTTGAAGATAGCCCATGTATCCATCGCACGTGGGGCTTCGTGACCGGGCGAAACGCCATGAGCCCAGCTGGGCGTTCCGAATGGTCCTGTGCCAGCGGCTGAGGGCTCCCTGTATGTATCGGTGCTACACACTTCCGTGTATGCGCCCTTCACCACCTTGGACCTCATGCGATATGCGCTCTACGGTCCATGCGTCGAGTAATGTTTGAACTCTGTGGTAGCGAGTGCGCGGTCTTGCCTTCTTCACCCGACTGAGGACCGTGATGAACTGATGACGAGGATACTGTTCTGATCATGCTGAGCATCTGGGATGTCTCCATGGTCAGCGCGTTGGATACGCGTATTCTGGGAAAGGCTACCTTCTTTCTCGTTGCTCTCTGAGTTCCATACTTCGTTTCCGCCGCCCTTGAATAGGGATCGTCTGTGCCCGTCCATGTCAGCTCGCTGCTCAGCGGACTTTATCGTTGCCTCGTGACCTTGCTTCCTCTGCACTTCGAGTGCATATGCAGCAAATACGCTTCACCCCACATTCGATTGCAGAGTTCCATTGTACTGGATGCGTGATCGAGGGTCCGTTCGCAGCTTGGAGATCCTTCACGGACGTGACCAATGGGGGGACGGCATGTGCTATAGATGCGCGGCTGCGTGTGGTCGCCCTTCGTTTTTCTCCGAGGGACTTTATTTGTCTTCGTTATGCCTGACTCTCTGTATCATCGTTCTCCGTGACAAAGTGTGCTGACACCCAACTTCCTAACAGCGCTCAGCACCCTCCCGATCTCCTCATACCCATTCTCGTCGTTCCCGGTGCCCTCTGCGTCGCCCATCCCGGGAACGTTCCCGTCGACCTCTCCGAAGTCGCCTCCCCCTCCCGGCTCCGACCTGATTCCCGATTTCGCGCCCGCATGGTCGAAGGCGCACTCCCAGGCGAAGAAGCTCATCTGGGGCTGGTCGGTCGAGCAGAAGGTGAACGTCTCCACCGGCGTCTTCTGGATGAAGGGCCTTTGCGTCGGCAACATCGCCGCCGTCGGTGATTTTCCCGGGCTCTGTCTCGAGGACTCCCCGCTAGGCGTTCGCGACACCGACTTCGTGACCGCGTTCCCGGCGGGCATCACTGTCGCCTCGACGTGGAACCGCACGCTTCTCCGCCAGCGTGGCCAGGCGATGGGTGCGGAGTTCAAGGGCAAGGGCGTGCATGTCGCCCTCGGGCCGATGATGAACATGGGCAGGATTGCGCAGGGCGGGCGGAACTGGGAGGGCTTCGGCGCGGACCCGTATCTGACGGGCGAGTCTGCGTACGAGACCGTCCTTGGCCTGCAGCAGAGCGGCGTCCAGGCGTGCGCGAAGCACTACATCAACAAGTACGTTTCAACCTGCTACGTCTCCGGCAGTGACTGACAGTGGACGTGCAGCGAGCAGGAGCACAAGCGTGACCACGAGTCCTCGCACGTCGACGACCGCACTGAGCATGAGATATACCTGCACCCGTTCATGCGCTCCGTGCAGGCAGGTGTTGCGTCCGTCATGTGCAGCTACAGTGCGCATCCTGTGTTTCGCGGAATCGTCTTTGCGCTGACAGCATTGCAGACCAGATCAACGCGTCGTGGGCGTGCGAGAACGACCGCACGCTGAACCAGATCCTGAAGGGCGAGGTCGGCTTCCAGGGCTACGTCCAGTCCGACTGGGGCGCGCACCACTCGACGCTCGCGGCCGTCAACGGGCTCGATGTGAGCTCTGCACATGCGCATGTCCTCGGTCCTTGGCTGACTCGCGGCTGCAGATGTCTATGCCCGGTGATATCACCCTCGGCTCCGGGACTACCTGGTGGGGCCCGAACCTGACCGCGTTCGTGGAGAATGGGACGATTGCGGAGTCGCGGCTCACGGATATGGCGGAGCGCATCGTCGCTGCGTGGTACCTCCTCGACCAGGATAAGAACTACCCCAACGGTGCGCTACCTCGGACGCTATCGTACGCATGACCTCTGATGCTATTCCTAGTGAGCTTCAACGCGTTCGCGCAGAACGACCCCGCCACGAACCAGCACGTGGATGTGCAAGATGACCACTACAAGGTGGTGCGCGAGATCGGCGCGGCCGGCACGGTCCTGCTCAAGAACATCGGGAACGCGCTCCCGCTGGGCAAGCCGAGGTCACTCGCCATCATCGGTGCGTGTTCTCCCTGTTCGCCTTCGTAGTGGTGCTGACACTCTGGCATTTAGGCAACGACGCTGGTCCCTCGAGCCGCGGCCCGAACGGATACGGCGACCGCGCAGGGGACGACGGCACGCTCGCGATGGGCTGGGGCTCCGGCACGACGAACTTCCCGTACCTCATCGACCCGCTCGAGGCGCTGCAGCAGCGCGCGCGCCAGGACAAGGCGAGCGTGTCGTGGTACCTGAACAACTTCGAGGTCGCGAGCGCGGCGGCGACGGCGATCGACCAGGACGTCGCGCTCGTGTTCGTGAACGCGGACTCGGGCGAGGGCTACCTGACGGTCGACGGGAACGAGGGCGACCGGAAGAACCTGACGCTGTGGGGGAACGCGGACAACCTCATCAAGGCGGTGGCACAGGCGAACCCGAACACGATTGTTGTTGTGCACTCGGTCGGGCCTGCGATAGTGGAGGCGTGGATCGAGAACCCGAACGTGACGGCGGTGCTGTGGGCGAGTCTGCCCGGGCAGGAGTCGGGGAACTCGATCGTGGACGTGCTGTATGGAGAGGTTAACCCGTCTGGACGTCTGCCGTACACGATCGCGAAGAGTCCGGCGGACTATTCGGCGCAGCTGATCACTGGCGGGACCGCGAACGATATCCTGCTCATTGAGTACACCGAGGGTTTGAACATTGACTACCGCCATTTCGATGCTGTAAGTCCTCTATTATGTCTATCTCTCTTCTTTTCATTCTGACGCTATGCCATAGAACAACATCGAGCCGCGATTCCCCTTCGGCTTCGGGCTGTCGTACACGAACTTCTCGTACTCGGACCTGAAGGTGCGCGCTGTCCACCACGCGGACCACACGTCCGCCGCGCTCGAGACCGCCTGGGCAAAGGGCAAGGCGTCCCCGAACGTCGAGGGCGGCTCGACCGCGATCTGGCTCCACCGCCCCGCGTTCGAGGTCTCCTTCAAGGTGACGAACACCGGCAAGGTCAAGGGTGGCGAGGTGCGTCTCTTCTTCATCGCTCCGATTGACTCGCGTTCGTGACGCTGATCTCCCTTCCACCCTTCCCCTCTTCTCCTCTTCCCCCCTTTTCTCCTTTCATGCTCCGTCGACCACGCATCGCCCTCGTGCAGATCCCGCAGCTGTACCTGCACTTCCCGGAGAGCGCGGGCGAGCCGCCGAGCGTCCTGCGCGGGTTCTCGGACGTGCTCCTGCGCCCGCACCAGAGCGAGACCGTCACGCTCACGCTGTCGCGGTACGACCTCAGCCTGTGGGACGCGGCCGCCCAGGGGTGGAGGAAGCCCGAGGGCAAGTTCACGTTCTCGGTGGGCGCGAGCAGCCGGGACTTCCGCTTGAAGGGCACCGTCCCGCTTTGAAATTTGAGTAGGGAGCGGTCGGACGGGGATCTGGGGCTGCTGCAGGGACTGACACGATGTGACGAAAAGAGTACCTCGGAGGAAGGGACGATCTTACGACGATGGATGCTATCTAGGACTTGTGTTACTTGTTGGACTGTTGTTGATACGTTGATACCTAGCATGTTGTTGCTGTGTACGAGTTGTCAAGATTGGTTTTCTCGAGCCAGGATTGGGCTTCGAAAGGGTCATTCAAGACTGAGTACTGAGTATACACGGAGTGCTTACCTTAGATCTGAGACTTCCGAAGCAAGCTTCATGGTCAACTGCCAAGAAAGAGCGATTATCGAAACTTCGAAAGAAGTCGATCTCTTGAGCAGACAGTGTGTGAGGTAGAAAGTACGATCGATATCGTGACAGCATCACTTCAGTTGGGCCGGGGTAAGTTTGTAGCAGCAGAAGAATCATCTGGTCCTCAAAAACATCTGGTCTTCAAAAACATGAACACTCTGCACAGGGGATTACACTGAGCGGGAGTCGAACCCACGCCGCTTGCTACCAGAAAGACGTTCTTCGATGGAAGGCAAGCATGATACCGTTTCACCATCAGTGTCACAGTGGGCAGTTTCCTGCCAACGTACGCATGGGCTTGGTAAAGAATATGAATTTGAAAGTGACAGTGTGCGTGTGCTATGAAATCCTCCTTAAGCTTAGTGTTACATGGACGAGCTCGACAACTGGGTATACTTGTACTCTCAGATAGACAACATTGGACAACGAGACTAGGACGTCACGATATTAACCGCACTCATGTGGGCGATGAGGCCACGTATCCTCGAAGAGCGCGCGTGGAAGGAGCATGTGAACTCCTTGGGATGGCTGAGGGACGCGTTCAGGTGTAACGACGACAACACGATAGTATGTGGAGGAAGGTAACGCACCTCACGAAACCAGAGATGAACGCAGCCTCAGGGACGATGTCGCGGCCGAAGTTGTCCTTCGCAAAGGCGAGGTCCATGGTCGCGATGATGTTCGCCGCTGCGAGCCACACGCTGGCGTCCGCGAAGATCTGGCCGGGGCATACCCTGACGAGGGGCGACGAGCATGATGAGTACATGCGCTGTCGAGCTATGTAGCGGATGGATGCATCGAGACTTACCGTCGCCCGAACCCGAAGACGACATTCCTGGGGTCGGTGTGCTCGGCCTCCTCTGCAGACATGTGCAGAAAGCGGTCGGGATCGAAGCGCGCCGGTTCGGGGTACACATCAGGGTCTTGTGTCATCCACCTGGACGCTCCTCGTCAGATATTGGAAATTGTGAGGTCGTAAGTCACGTACCAGATGTTCGGAATGACCATCGCGCCCTCAGGAATGTCGTACCCTCGATAGACGTCGTGGTGGCTAACCGCATGCGGCACACCTATCCCAAATAGTGTTAGCGATGGGTCCTCAGGGCATGGTGCAGTGACGTTACGAACCGAGCGGGACCGGCGCGTTCCATCTAGGCACGGAGATGGTGGGTCATTTGTCAGTCATCACCGGGCGGGGACCGAGTCCAGAGTCTTCGGCTAGACAGGATGCACGTACCTGAACACTTCTTTCAGCACACACTCCAAGTACGGCAGCTGTTCGCGATCTTCAAAATCGGGTAGCCTGTCCGGACCGATCACACGGTCAATTTCCGCCTGCGCCTTCTTGTAGACATCCTGGTGGAGGACCATGGCGAGGATGAACGTCTTCATCGCCGTTACGGTCTAGCACGGGATGTCAGGTTCACTGCGTGAGGCGGAGTGCGTGCCTGTGTGGACACGACCACACGTACCGTATCGGTGCCCGCTGTAATCGCATGTTAACGCCACTAATCCCGGGGGCATGTGCGGGTGTACGTACCGGTATAAATAACGCCTGCGGCACCCTTGATGTCCTCCTCGTGTTCGGCCGTTAGCGAGCCCGCAGCGACGGCCTCTTCCAGCAGGGTCGCCGTGAAGGACGGGGCAGCGGTTCCGGTTCTCTGCGCTGCCAGGTCATAGAAGGCCGGTATATTTGGGGAAAGAAGCATACCAGGGCCCGCTGAACCATCGCGAATGGCGTGTCCAGTGTCTGCCTGACAAGACTCTTGACGAGAAATGCTTGCCGCTTGAATCCGGAGCCAGGCATCCAGAGAGGGATATATCGTACTGTGTAGACGTCCTGTCAGCTCGTGTCGCGGCAACGATCGGGTAGCGGAGACGTACAGATGGGGAAGAAGTCCACAAGCATGGAACCCGGGCTGCCGCCCAGCACCGTCTCCACGGTGGTCCGCTCGGCGACCTCGACCAACGGATCGTTGAGAGACGTGACCCGGTAGCCATAGGCAATCTCGAGGATGACGCCGCCAGCCCACCTGCGCGAATACGAGGTTAGGCGTTTCGTCCGTGCGGAAAATTGCGGGCTTACCGTTTGAGGTGGTCCATGAAGTGCTCCGGGCTGTCGCACAACCCCGACAGAAGCATGTAGGTTTCTCGCCGCTGGATAGGCCGGTAACCCATCACGACGGCCTTGGAGGCGAATGCGTCCTGTAACCATTTCCGGTGCTTGCGGAAGCGCTCCCCATATGGCAAGTTGTTCAGGACGCTGTCCCATCCCATCCTGCGTCCACGTCAGTATCGCCCATCCCTGCTCCCTCGTGCCAATCGTGTACTCACAGATCCTTGAGGAGGATGAACGGCGGCCTGTCGGAATACTTCGCGCTCCGCTTCTCCATGAGCTCCACCGCGGCCTCTTTAGAGTTCAGGATGACGGCCGGGGTGCGGAAGAACTTCGCGAACACGACGTCTCCTGCGTGGAGTGCCACGAGTGAGTCGCGACAGCTGCTGGGATGCGCTGAAGAGTCGTACCGTGCTCCCTGCCCCACTCAGCCATCTTTCGCCATTGGTAGTTTACCGGGAGCTGATGAACGTTCCCGATAAACGGTAACGCCCTAGGGCCAGGCGGATACCGATACTTGGCGCTCCTGCGGTATCGGACGTACGCGCCAAGGACCACGAGTGCGACGAGCAGGACAGCGGGCGCTGCCGAGGTGACGAGCGCAAGCTGGGACCAGGCGGAATCCATCTTGCGGTATCAGTGGGAGGGTTGAGGAGGGTTAGCTCGGGGAACAGAGGTTTATAAGTCATCGATTGGTCGGTACGTCATTCAAGCTGAGCCTGCATGAGGGGAATGTGTATCCTTGCGCGAAAAGGGAAAATATGCCGACGAAAAAATCGACTTGCTGAGTTTGCAATCCGTCTCGGAAGACTCAGCTCAGATAGACGCCGCCCGAGATCATGAATATTAGCCTGGCGCTGGTGCGCGTCCCGCTGAGCGCATCAGGGCCCAAGCTTGTCGGGGACTGAACGTTGAAGGCTGAGCACGAATGCCTCGTGGGTCCGTCGACCAGGCGGCAAGTAAACGCAACAATTCGGGGGTATTCCCGAGATTTCCTTCGGGCGCCGATGGAAATGCACCCTGCCTATACCGGTGGCGCGTGTGAGAGGGATCAAGACCGGCCGGTGTTTGCGCGTCCTGCTGCGAGGCCAGTCTATGGCCGGAGAGCTGATCACCAGTGCGGCCACGCGTGACGATAGAAGCTCGTCACCCACGCCCGCTAGATACGTGTGGTGATACCCGGAGGCGATCTGTGTACGAGGCGGAAGGTTCTGTTGCTTGATCCCGCTTCATTGGACGCACAGTCCCCATGCGGGCAACGGGAGTATGCGGCTGCAGGCCGCCCGACTTGATATCCCGTTGAACAGCTGCCAGCCGAAGCGAGGAGTCGAGCGACGATAGAACAGGTGTGCGAAACAGGGTGGGCGAGAGCAGAGGCCAGTGGGACGCCACGGCATTCTGGGTCGTCCAGGAGACTCGAAGCAGCTGAAAATCGCCCTGGAAGTTACGACAACGTCGCGAAGACGTCCATCGGCAGGGGTGAACTCAAACGATTCGAGTGACCGAGATCACCAGATTGTGATCGCGATAGAGCTGGAGAAGCCTGTTGAGCTGCGGGTGAGGGACGTGACGAGTCTCGACGTCGCTCGAGGCCGTAGGAGGGATTGGGACGCGCGCGGAGCGCCGACACTTCGCATAACGCGCTTGGTCTGTGAGCGTCTTTTCGGAGCGGTCCGCCATGTTCAGGCAGTTACGGAGGCAGCAAGGGCGCAGATGGACGTAGGTAGGCCGGCGGCTGGAACGAGTCGAGGATCTCGACAGAGGGTACCATTCCACAAGGGCGCTAGGAACCAGGGTGAAAAAATTGTGGCCGTCAGCTGTCGTAATACCTGTAAGCTGCCTTGTCAGCAGAGGGCAGGAGATCGGGGATTGCAAGCATATCGAACAGCTGGACGTCGTTCGATGAAACCTCACCGTGCTCACCAGGTTCGAGACACAGCCACTTCGAGACTTGCTATAGCCGAGAACTGTGCTTGTCGCTCCCTGGTGCGCGTCCAGAAGTCATAGGCCAGAGGACCGCACCTAGAACGACCGTCAGCTTGCCGCAAGCTGCTGTTGGACCTATGGGCCGAGGTCATGTCCGACAGCCAGCTTTCAGCCGAGCGCATGTACACGTTCAAAAGGCAATGCTTCTTCCGCCGCGTTATGCCCACGGTCGCACGATAGCGGAGATAGAGGCGCGCCGGCAGCGAAGACAAGTGCACGTTGTTTCCTGAGACTGGTTACGCCCGCGGTGCATACCAGCATCTGGAAACCGTCACATAAACAAATCCTGAACATCTCTTGGTTTTCTAAAATCCAGACAATAAACCAAGGATGTTTCTCAACTGCACGGAATCAAATTTTACTCACCTGTACCCAAGAACGCTGTTGAGCCAAGCCTTGTATTTTCTGATGTAGTAGGAGTTTGTGCATCATAATTCATCGTTGGACCAACACCGAAAAGTTGAGGAGCGAGCATGGTGAGGGTATGAGGGAAGGTCTGCTACGGACTGCTCTCCGCAAAGTCCGAATGAGCGTCTACGGATCGCAATCTGCCGCAGCCTGCCGCAGCGCGTCCAAGTCGCGCGACGCGTTCCACACGCCTTGCTCTCTTCAACCACCACCCGACTTTCAATATCCGTAGTCTCTCTCACTCAGCCTCCTCGCGGACGATGGCTACATGTGTCCCCCGCAAAAGCGCTCGACTTGAAGCTCAGGATGAGGACGGCGAACTCGAGGGTACGGGAGGAAAGGCGGAACGGGACAGGACTTTCTGGTTTCAAGACGGAACCATCGTCGTTCTCGCGGGGAACATTGAATTCAAGGTGTACGCAGGGCCGTTGATTGAGCATTCTCCTGTCTTCCAGGACATGTTCTCTCTCCCGCAAGCAGGAGCGGACGTCTCCACTGCCGACCGTGTCCGTCCTACTGTCCACCTTTCAGACTCCCCGTGTGATCTCAGATATCTCTTTGAGCTCATGATGCCTTCCAAGACGCTACGGTCAGTAACTACTCTTTCCTGCTCTATGTCCTTCCCCTCCGCATACTATGCACGAGGGCTGACGAGCCTGCAGTCCGTTCGGCTCTCCCGTGGTCAATCACGACAAACTTGCCGCATGGATCCGCATGGGGCATAAGTACCAGATCGACGTCCTCGTTCAGGA